TCAGCACAGCTCATTATTCCCAGCTGAGAGTGAGCCAGCCAGCAGGGTGCAATGCTGCAAACAGCCCACAGCTGGCTCAGGGACACCTCACTCATCAGAGCTCATTTCCCCCAGCTGAGAGAAAGTCGAGCCAAAAAACCTGGCACCGCCAGCCACATAATTCCAGCTCTTAAATAATATAACAACTGCTGCTGGTAGAACAAAAGCTGTTTTTATTTGTTTCCTAAGAGTTAAGAAAATAATAATTAACTGAGGCAACTGCTTGTATGATGGAATCTATGCTTCTGATACAGTAATAGAGCTTTGCTAGACATTTAAGATAGATGAGTTGTAACCACCCTTTCCTCCCTCCCCCCCTCACCACACATCCAATTTTACCTTGTCCTTTGATTCTCTTCATTGTTTTCTTCTACCTTTCTCCTTGCATTTCCCAGGGTTGCAATAGGGTGTAGATTATTTTGGAAAGTTTCCAACAGTATCCCCCAAATTTGTTGCATTTAGTTCTTTGTCACTATTTAGCTGCTCATAATATAAGTTCCATTCAGCAAAGCAAACGAAAATAAAATCAAATCAAAGGGTCTGAGCACTGTGGTTGCTGTACCTTGGTTTCCTTTGAAAGGAAGACTTTTTGCCACCAAGCCAGCAGCTTGTAACCTCTCTTAGAGAAGAGATATGCCTAAACTTGAAGAGGTTTTAAAATAAATGTTTTCTAAGCTAACAGTTCAAATTCAAATCCATGTTAAGTGCTCAAAATCATCACACTAATGTAAGTTCCTCTTTCAGGTAATTTTCATTTCTGAGGCTCTCAAAACATTTCCCTTTCCAGAGCTAGCACTGAATACAAGTTCATCGGAAGTAGTGCTGGCAGTCTCACTGTTAAGAGCCAAAGCCTGGCAGGTCCTTTCACTGGAAGGGTTGTTGGCTTACACAGGTGAGAACCCAGGCCTAAATCAGTAGGCTGAGAGAAAGTGAGATGTTTTGCTGAGCCTTCATCTACAGTGCAGCAGTGGCAGGTTACCAAAGCAAGGCAGGTGGTGGGAGTTTCACTTAGAAAGCCAAGTATCACATACATGTAGTTGTAACTCAGCATTTAAACATTCTATCAAGCTTCAACTCTGAAATTAAAAAGCACAATTACTATATTTTTTTCCATTGCGATAGAAAAAACATGACATACTTCTAAGAAATAATAGCAATGCATCCTTCAAATTGCAAGCAGATTGCAAGCAAATAGAAGAAACGGAGTCACATTTTTGTATGAAAATATAGTTATTTCTAAACTAATGGATAAATAGAACAAGACGCACTACAAGTGCTGTGCCACAGATGTCACTTTCGCAGAAGTTCATCAGCAAAAGAGCGCGATAAAAGGAAGGTATAGGCACTCAATTTCCATTTCTTGTACAGTCATCTTTGCAATGTAAACATCCTGGAGGATCTGGAATATTTGGGATCAGACATTATTCTTTTTAAGCACACTAAGAGGGAGGTTCTGTTTGAAAATCAAGGGCGCAGCTTGGTCTTCAAAGCTTTCAGGAATTTCTGCATTTTTTTCTACTTGCCAGCTACTAAGAGGGAAAGGTCAGATCTGCAAGTGATGTAAACAAGCATAGCTCTGTGAGGGCTTTGAGCTTGTACCCATTTACATCAGATGGAAATTACACTTCTCACTTCATCTGTGAATAACTGTGCATGTACATATATATATATATGCAAGTGCGTGGTGGATACATACTATATAGAAAATGTATGCTTTGATCTGTCAAAATAAAGATATATATTTGAAAAAGGAGATTGAACATGGAAATTATACACTCTGCATTTACTTTTCAAACTGAAAGTTAAGGGAAAGAAGCATTGTTTATGCTCAGGGAGAACCTGGTGATTTGTACATAATAACCTAAAACCAAACTACCACATGAAAAATTTAACAGCTCTCTGCTGTGGTTGAGAGGCCCATGCTATGACTTGCTAACTTTTATATAAATAATTACTAGGCAGTACCTTCGCCATCACGGATTGCTACTTTAGCAGCCTGGACCCTTGTGCAGCAAAGCACTTTCATTGGCTACCTTTAAACAATTGAATAGTCCCCTAGATTTTTGCAAGCTCACTCTGCTTAAAATTAACCACGTATTTAGTCAGATGCCTGCACTGAACTCCATCAGTAATCAGCAAGGCACTTCAACCTGTGCATAAAGCAGCTGCTTCTGTAGGGCTTACACACAGGCTTAAATACTTCTCTGAGCAAGGACAGTGTGGCTTGATGCTGCAAAATCCTGATTGTCTTAGATGCAATCCTGCAGAGCTTTTAAACACGTCTTTCATAGCCTATGCATGAAAACCAGTCAGATTCAGCATCATTTATAAGTTAAATCACACTTCTAAACATGGTGGTAAGACTGGGCCGGGAGAAGAATATTGATACGGAGAATGTTAATCTCCCAGATATACTATGTTCACAATTTGTTCCACAAACGTTGTTCAGTTTAAATTATTCAGCACTTGTTAGCACTGTGGTTTAGGCTACAACGTGAAAAAAGACTTGATTTACTTTGTGAATGCAGCGATGCCTCAACCAAAGCAGCATTTCAGCCCCCTGCTCTGAGCCTTGCATGTCGAGGCAGTCACTGACGAACTTATTTGCTACAACATGGGCAGCAGCAGCTGTGCTGCTGTGCACCAGGGGCTCACCGTGGCTCCTCGTTGTCCAGAGGGGAAGCTGTGGCCAAGCAGCTCAGGGGATGCTAGGAATGAGGGTGATCACCAAAAGCCCTAGTTTGTATGCTTGCAGCTATGCATCTCCTTGCACTTCTTCAGAAATCTTAAATTAGGAATAAAAAAAAAAAAAGAGAGATTTTTTTTCCAGTGCAAACAGTTGCATGCTGTCTTCTTTGCATCTTTGCAGATAGCTAGGAGTGCATGGCTTTCTTGCTCAGCTCGTTCTGCTATAACAAACTGTTGCCTGTGCATGGAAGGTAGAAAAGTCAGGAGGAGAAATATCTATCTTTTCCTGCGGCCAAAGGATTGTTCGGAGAATAGGAGGAAAAAGTACAACAAAAGAGGGAGGAAAAAAATCCCAGGCTTGTGTGGGCCAAGTGTCTAAACAGGATAAATCCTGTCAGCTGACTACAGCATAACTCATTTTTAATTAGTTTGTGGCAAATAGCACTATTTGTGCCAGGCTGCAAAACTGTACTGTGTTCCTGAGGAACCATACTGACAGCAGAAACAAACGAATCCCTGCAAGATTCCTCCTTCTGGAAGCTCACCATCAATATTCCTCATTTAAATTGTGTGCTGGGTATCGTCTTCTGTGAGACTGCTTTTCTATCCCAGCTTGATTTTTTTTCCCTACTGCTTGAAATATAAATGTAAAAAATTGGGGACTTTTATCTTATAAACATACCTGTTGATTAATAACACAAATCAAATTGGGAGCGATCAATGAAATATTTACATATCCAAAAGCCTGACCTAGATTGCCTGCTGATTTTCTGGGGATGGGACTGCATTTTTCCCTCTGTTCAAACAGACTTTCACTGTAACGTAGGCTGTGATTTTGCTGCATCGAGACCTACAGCCTTTTCCAAATTGCAGCATTCTAGTTAAGTGGAGAAATCCTGCTACAGAGGGAACTTGCAACCTAGCCATAGGGATATGAGAAGATATTAAACTATCCCAATCCTGGAAGCTATTGATTGTCTATTAGCAACAGTGGGCGAAGGGGGAATCAGTTATTTTTAGCATGAGGACTGCTATTTGGGAATGAAACAACATGTTTTGGCTTTGCTTTTTTTTTTTTTTTTTTTTTTTTTTGTGTCATATGAAATGGCACTGGTAACATTTGCAGAATCAGACATTAAATTAGCTACACGTGCTGTTTTGTCTTTGTCCTTTGATTGTGTTCCACAGACAAAAAAAAACAAAACCAACCCCAAAACCTTTTAATGGCCACTTTTACCAATATTACAGACATGGCCATTAACATTTTTCTCTTTATAAAATCAGTGAGAAGAAAAAGCAGAGTTGTGCTTGTAGTCATGAGCTTAGCCTTGTCATTCAGGAATATAACTTCAGCTGCAAGCGTTACATCCATTATGCAGCAAATTCCTTGAAATCTTAAAGAGAGGAACAGCACCAGAGGGCACAGTCACTGCAGTGCCATTACCTCCTGCCTGCTCAAGCTCTCCCTTCTCTCAGTCCTTTCAGCCACCGGTTACTCTCCTTTTGCATTTGTCTACATAAGATAAAAAAAGAGCTGATCAGTCTTTTCTTAACAGCTTTACCCATAACCAGAAACTTGTTTCTTATCAAAGCATTTATAAATATGAAATATATACGCTATACGGCATATATATTTTATATACACATATAGCAAAACATAGATTAAATAAGAGCCACACAGCACATACACATGTAAAAACATAATTCCATAATCCTGTGCTTAAACTTAAGAACTGCATGGATGTCTAAATGCTTGTTAGACAGCAAAAGTTCATTTTCATCACTTGTTGGGTTTTAGCTGTAATTCAGGTTTAAAACATTTGCTACCGCTATTCTAGTACCAGATGCCAAACTCTCTGAATGAACTGCCAGCAATAGGATTCTAGGGAAAGGAGAGGTTTGAGCACGGTGATGGCAAGAAATGGATAAAATTCACTCTGAAAACAAGAACAGGAAGGGAATACATGTTGAAATCCACAGAAGAAATAATGTACGTCCCTCAGTCCCAGTAACTGGTCTTCTTTGGCACTTGAGAACGATCACAAGTAGTTTGCCTTTTTATTCATATAGAACAAAATTTACAAAGTCATTCATACATTTTTGTTTTTTTTTTTCTTTTGTTTTTTACTGACTTCGAAAATTGGGAATATTCAAAATACACTTTTACCCCACTTCATTCTTTCATTATTTACACTTATATACAAGAAAAATGTAAGAGTTTCTTTGCTTTTTTTTTTTTTGTTTGTTTTTAGTTTTGTATTAAAAAGCTCTGCTGGTTGTGTTACTGTTTGTTTTCATCAAATGGATGTTCCGTGAGAGGGCTCCATTGCTTCTGGAATGACTCCCCCCGGCACAGACTGAAATGACATAGGGATTGGGGTTTTCACGGGGCTCTGACGAAATAGTCCTCCATTTGGTGACCTGTGTTTACACTGTATGGAGGGCATGGTGGCAGAGCTGCTCAGGGGCAGCGGCAGGTTGCTGCCAGAGGCAGCTGTGAGTGTCCTGCTGGCACCATGAGTTGTCTGTTCTGGTAAAAAGGTGGTGACAGAAAGTTGCGTGTTCTGGTATTCGCGTACCGGCTCCAGGGTCTGAGCTGGCTGCATGCCACCGATCTCCAAGGCTGAGATCTCGATGGACGCTGGAGAGATCTGCTTGTGGGCTATGTCTTCATCGATTAAACTGTTCATGCGTCTATGGACCTGCTCCAGGTTCACTTCTTTATCCTAGTGAGGAAAAGAACAGAACAATCACTCACAACGCAACCGCCTTTTGTGTCCCATCCCTCCCTCTCCTCTATGTGATGGGAATTGGTGTTTACTCATTAGATTGCTTTGATGTCATCTGTGCCTGTGCAAAACCTCCAGGTCTGTCCAATGCCTCCAAATGAGAACACGTACTGAAGAAAGCGCCATCTCCATTTCAGCCTGCAAAGCCCACTGATGCTCTCAGTATGAAACTCCCTGAACATAAAACGATGTCTCAGCCAACACATCTTGGCATCAGTAGAGCTTAGCACTCTCACATATCTGAAGCACACTTTCTGAAGATTACAGCAGTGTAATACTGTGCACAGCCTAGCTGGCTCCAGAACATTTGCTTCACGCACCAAAATCTACCGGCCAGGAGTTATGGTGGTGAAGAAACTTTCCCTAACCAGCAGGGAGCACTGTGTCACCTACCTGGCAAGATCCATGGAGCTCCCAGAATGGCATTAAGATGGAGACCCGCTCTTGAAGCCCTGGCAGGGGAGCATGCGTTTGTGAACTGAACAGTTGTGGGATCAACTACAAGCCGTCTATCACTTTGGCATCTCATCTGGTAAAAGTTTACATCTGTTTTCAGTGTTTGGGAAAGCAGCCCCAATCTTTAGAAAATACATCACTGTCCTCGAGAATGAGTCATCTAAGGCTCCCAGAGTGGTCTTGTCAAGAGACTTTTGGCACCAACTGCCACCATTTTAGCTTCCCAAGGCCAAAAATGTTGCCTTTAAAATTTGAAGTAGCAAAGACCTACAATGGGCTTTTATGACCTCAGTGCGGCATGCAGGATGTCCAAAATGGAGAACAACCAAACTGGCAGAATAAATCCAACCACCTGGGATGTTATATGACTAAATTTTAATAGCTAGCAGTCTACAAAATAAAAAGGTATTATATCATTTCTCTATATTTCAGAAAGCACAGCTGTGCAGTTACAGCTCTTTGATGCAAGTGTAACATACTGCAGACTAGCAGCAAAGTATCTGTAAGAGTTCAACAGTCCTGGAACTAAAGGTAGCCTCTGGTCTGACAAACTACACAGTTTTCTCAGAGAAAGCCGAGGCTAGGAAATGGGACTACCTGATGGGTCCCAGTAATCACAGAATCATCATAGAATCACAGAATGGCCTGGGTTGAAAAGGACCACCCACAATCATCATCTGGTTTCAACCCCCCTGCTGTGTGCAGGTTGCCAACCAGCAGCCCAGGCTGCCCAGAGCCACATCCAGCCTGGCCTTGAATGCCTGCAAGAAGGGGGCATCCACAACCTCCTTGGGCAACCTGTTCCAGTGCTTCACCACCCTCTTTGTGAAAAACTTCCTCCTAATATCTAACCTAAACCTCCCCTGGCTCAGTTTAAAACCATTTCCCCTTTCCTATCACTATCTATGACTGCCCATAGCTCAACATGTTCCTAACTGGTTAAACACAAAACCAGTAGCCTTAAAGAAACTCTTGTCCATGCCAAAACCTAGGCTCTGGGAGTAGATAAGAATGAAGGGTTGCTGCCAACTATCCCACATAATCTTTTACATTACGTTTCAGGTGGAGCACAGTGAATTATATTATTCCATGTCATACACTGCTGTGCAACTTTACCTCCAGCCTTAAATTGACAATGAAGTCAACTCCAAAGCCCTAGATTCCAGCCACTGTCAAATATAGATTTGTTTGTATGATTTAAAATGACTTTAAACCACTTCTATATTTTTCAAGAGCCATTGGATTTGGTGATCTCTGTATGGATTTGAAAATGAATTAGTGTAACATGAACCCAAACCTCTGAGCTTATGCTAGGTCTCCAGTGAGTTCAGCTGGAGTACAATTGTTCAACAATTACACAGCCGAGCAGCAGTTTGCACCTCCCTTCTTAATCAGTGGAAAAATGATTCCTATTTCATTTACATAAAAAGCCGACCAAGCCCCCAGTGCTGCTCTCTGGGACTCTGGGGATATTATCTTCCTCACCAGAGAAATAGATAGAAACTTTTTTTTTTTTTTTCCTTAACACTGTTTTTTCAGATAGATTCTCTAATCAAATAATTTTGAGTTAGATAAAATCAATGGAAAATAAATAAAAAAATAGTTTATGGCAGAAAGGAACTGGACAATACTTGATAAGATAGTTGCTGTAGATACATCAAGTCTTCACCAACCTGACACGTCAGGCTCTTTATTCTCTAAGTCAGACAATGCTCTACGCTGACCATAAAATCCACTGCAAGGAGAATTAAGCATTTGTGATATAATGGCCAGAGTACATGGATTTAATTTTAGAATTTATGTAGCTCTGTTTCTTGAAATAAAACTGTGTACTGGGGGCAAGTGCTGGAGGTGTTCTTAGCATTATTCTCAGCTGGGAGTAAGGGCTCAAACTCTCTGAGCAGCTTCATTTTGTACAGTGTCTGGCCATGCACTTCTGTATTTTTTTTCATCTGTCTGCCAATGAAAGATTGCAGTGAAGTTCTGCTTATCTGCAAAGTTCAGCTACTGTAGTGTCTGATGCCATCTGTGCCTAAGGAAGCTAACTCCCCAAAGCCCATTAAACGGTGCTTCTTTAGGTACCCTGTACTACACGTCCTTTTCCCAAAAACCCTGCATGCTTGTGTTTAGACTCCTAGGTTAGCACTTTAGTTATCTGGGACCCACATTCTTGCCAATACTCTACTATGAGAAAAGCAAATGTAGAGTACTCAGACAGAAGCTGAGCAAATACAAGAGGAAAAATATTTCCTAAATAAAGCTTTGGAGAAATATTCATGACTCCTTTGCATTTTTATGAGCTTTTATCTAATGCTTTCTTCAGATCATTTCAAGTGAAAATATACATCAACATCTTATACTTGTATTTTTTGATTGCATGCACATCTCCAGTGCATTCCATCCTGTTTTGCTATGGGAACAAAAATAATGCAACAGGGATAACTAGCCAAGCCAGAGAGAACAGTATAGTACTGATATTTGTAACACGTAGCTATTAACTGTTTGCTGAGGAAAAACACATTGGTGAAGGAAGCACACTCCTAATTTGGAGCATCTGTGCACAACAGATCATAAAATCCAAATAATTCCTCCTTGTTATAACATTTAGCTCTTTGAAGATGTAAAAATAAAGATGGGATGACCCTACTAGACATCTAATTCAGATGAGAGGGGATATTAATGACCATCCTGTTGGGGAGGTGCCACTCTGCTGGTCTAAGAGGACTGCCGTCCCTTCCTCCCTATGCACAGTGCAGCTCTGGAACAGCACTGTTCATAAATGGTGCAATTGCAACTGTTTATGTTTCACAGTACAAACACGTGCTTAACCATGCATAACATTTTGCTGTAAAGAAAAAGAGAACCTAATTCCTGCACACAAATATAAGTTTTAATCTACTACAAAACACTTTAAGTAGAGAAGTAAATACTTGGGATTTTAATAGGAGGTTGTAAGGGGGTGGGATTTCATTTGCCTGTTTCTAACTCTTTATTTAATGAGGACAACTCTCTGGCCTTACTAAGATAAGAGAAAAAAATAAATAAAAGCCTCAAAGAGCCCAGAAGTTCACATTATTCCCTCTTTCTGTTGCTAAAATAGGATGTTCGTAAAGGTTAAGGAAAACAACTCTCTCTCTTAGGATTAATAAAAATACACTGTAAAGGTTCTTCGTTTTTCTTTGCCTTATCAGATGAAGAGCAGCTAAATAACCAAATGTCAAGCTTTGTACGAAACTATCCTAATGTTGAATGAATGATTTTTCAAATGCTTTAAAAAAAAAAAAACAACGATCCAAAATGAAGATTAGAACCACGTGAAAAGATTAGTTTGTCCTTACATACTAGAAGACCGCTTCGAATCCTGGGATTTCCAGAACAGAAGTGTTCTGAGTGTTTTATTTGACAAGTGAAGCTTGCAGAATTTGTAAATTCTGTAAAGCTCATCTTTCTTTTTCCTTTATTGATCTCCTAGAAAATTCAATAACAAAAACATATGCTACGGAAAAGTAACAAGATAAATGGAAAGGGTTAAGAGGTAATAAAGCCAAACAAACAAATCTTAAAAGTTATGACATTCTTCTCCTTTGTCAGATCAATGTTCTTCTCTTTTTTCAGCTCTGTAATTCTCAATTAAGTATGAGGCATTTGATATCATTTAAAGCCCTTTGCTGGCATTTCTTCCTCATTTCCTGAAACCTTGTGATCTTAACTCTGAAATGGTAATGTAACACTCCAAAAGACTTCCAAACTTTCCAATGCTGTAACTGATCTCTATTTTTGTATTTCTCCATGGCAAAATTAACAAATTAAAATTGCTAAATTAATATAAATTAGCAAATTGAGGCTTGGAGCTGGGGAACAGCAGAAGAGCTGGCTCTGGCAGCTGGATGGGAAGAACCAGAGCCACAGGGGGGTATGTGTGCCCATTTTCCAGCACAGAGCCTTCTCTGGCCCAAAGGCAGCCCCTTGCTGTTTCTCATCACAAATGCTTCTGGCTTCAGCTTGCTCTCTTTCAGAGATGAATGAAGGAGCTCCAAACTTAATGCTTCAGTGTCTGAGGCAGACACATTACTGAAGGTTACCTTTCCTTCTTTTCTTGTGCTTAATATGCAAAACTTAGTTAATGTTATAAATGTAACCTCTACAATGTTTCACGCCAATTCAATTTCATTTTTCACGTACAGCTACATTGGACAAATGCTTATGGTTCTGCTGCCAAAAGGAGATCAAATATTTTTCCTGTGCTGTCTTCATAATTCTATTTGCAGTATTAATGTTATGCTCCAAGTAGATAAGTTAAAGAAGTTAATCAGTGAAGGGGAAAAAAATACCTCATGTAAAGTAAATGAATGATAAACACAAGCTTATCCTTCTCCACATTAAGGAAAACAGCTAACCAAACAATGCTTCTAGTCAGGAAATTATCTCATTCATAAGTACCAATTGAAATGTCATTCTTTTTCAATGAGTTTGACTTCTCT